GCATCAATGACTTCCGTATGACGCTTGTCAATGCTAAATTCGTACCAAAGACTCGTGCCCTTTGCAAAACCGACGTCGAGTAGAGGTCACAAAAGAGATGTTTAACAATATAGTAAAAACCAATTTAGCGAATGGAACTTCAAAAATGAGTCGAAATCGAAAAAATTGTTGTATCGCCTCAAATCAATACGATGAGCTATTTATACGAAATTGAAATTGAATTAAAATGTATAATTAATTATTAAAAGTATGTATTAAAATTCTTGAGAATCTTATTTTTCTGGCAACAAAATTTGATCCGCAGTTATACCTAATTTTGAGATTTAAAATAATCCTGTTGACATTATGTCATTATTACTTATGTCAACTAAAAATAATCGATATATAGAGTTTATATACTTTATAGTATTTATGTAAATGATCATGATGAAAAGACAAGTAGAATTTGTCCGTCCGACCGTCCATGCGTAAAAATATTACTTCATACTAGAGTTAAGACTAACATATATAAAAATAAATATATAAAAATGTTTTTGCTCCGCCCATTTTAATTCGGCATGAGAGGGTTAATGAGGAGCGCTTATGATTTAAAAAATATTTAATAAGTGGGCGTGGCCCTCCTCTTGATGACTTAATATATAAATTTCTCTCAAACCATTCAAAGCCTCTTGACACTTCTTACCACAAAGTGTTAAACTCTAACTTAAAGTGCAATAAATCAATAACTAAATGCGTCATATACATATATTAAATATTACTTTCGGGATGATATAAGAGGGCTTTATGGGAGTCAGTTTAGGAGAAATTACATATCTCTGGATCTACTCCACCAATTTCAACCAAATTCGATAGAAATCTTATTATCTTTACATTCTCATGTCACAGTGTGAAAAAGGATGAATTAGGTATAAAGTTCCCATATAACATAATTTTAAATTCCATTTTACTTTACAGTACATTTGGTCAAAATGTGTGATGTACGAGGTGACCAAGCCGCAAGAGTATAAAATGTTCGGTTACAAGCGAACTTAGCCCTTCTTTAGTTGTTTCATATAATGTTTTACAAATATTAAAAATAATTCCCTCTAATCTTTTACTTCCTTTGGAACATCAAGGAAATTTCTAAGATCTCTTTGCAACTGAAACCAAAACAAGAAAAATCGTTAACTTCGGTTGCACCGAAGCTAAATACCCTTCACAGGTGCATTTCTGTTAGTAACTATGTGTTCAGTTTGTATGGAAGCTATGTATTAGCTATAGTAATCCGTTCTGAACAATTTTTTTGGAGATTATATTGTTACATTAAGCAGTAATCCATGCCAAATTTCATGACGATACGACGTCAAATGCGAAACTTTTCTATACAAGCCCTTGATTCCGATCGTTCAGCTTCTATGGCAGCTATATGCTATAGTGAGCCGATCTGAACAATTTCTTTTGATATTACACATTTCTATAAACAATAACTCATAACCAAGATGAAGATATATTGTCAAATGAGAAAGTTTCCCATGCAAGCATTTGATTCCGATCATTCAGTTTGTATGGCAGCTATATACTATAGTTAACCGATCTGAACAATTTCTTCGGAGATTACATTGTTGCCTTAGAAAATAATCTATACCGAATTTTGTGAAAATACATTGTCAAATCTGAAATCCATACAAGAACTTGATTCCGATCGTTCAGTTTGTATGGCAGCTATAATATAATGGTCCGATATCGGCAGTTCCGACAAATGAGCAGCTTCTTGAAAAGAAAATGACGTTTGCAAAATTTCAAAACGATATCTTAAAAACGGAGGGACTAGTTCGTGTATATACAGACARACGGACATGGCTAAATCGACTCAGCTCGACATACTGATCATTTATATATATACTTTATATGGTCTCCGACCCTTCCTTCTGGGTGTTACAAACTTCGTGACAAACTTAATATACCCCGTTCAGAGTATAATAAATCAATAGCATAGTGCAGACGAGCGGTAAATAGTTAAATATTACGAAAAACTAAGCGTCAGTGTAAAATTGTAACGCATCAAGCTGTAGAAATTTTTTGCTGACGCCTAATTGTATGCAACACATGAATGTGTGTTCATCATGATATTGTATTATTTATCTGATTGTATATAAAGAAAGCACGTCAGTATTTTAACGCTGTGCAGGGTAGTGATTTACCACACCGCTTAAAACTGGTAGGATTTCATATCAGCCGAAATTCCTTCCCTGCTAGATTAAGAGTTAACACCAAACTCTTAGAAATTTCTTTACCATAAAATAGTATTGACTTTCTCAACGTCAACTAATCAATTTCCATAGATTTTGCCGCAGACTGTCATATAATATATCTTCATTTTATGCTTATTCATTGTTATTTTATTTATTTCTAGTTTAAACAAATAGCGTAATCTAGCGATTAGTAGCATTAACTAAGAAAGCTGTGATATATTCGTAATTTTCGGAGTATAAAAATGCTCGCGAGACTAGTTTGGAGTTAGTTGATTTCTACAACAGTTACGTGAACAACAAACAGTAGCTACAAAATGGTGTCTGTAAGTGGACGCACATAACTCTAAATATGTTTGAAGTGTTTTCTTATAAAATGTTTCTCCACTTTAGTTCGCAGAAGCAACCGAAAAAGCAAAGAACTTCTCAAAGAAGCCCACTGACGCCGAATTCTTGGAATTCTACGGTCTCTTCAAGCAGGCTACTGTTGGTGATGTGAACATTGAGAAGCCAGGCGCTTTGGACTTGAAGAGGAAAGCCATGTGGGACGCATGGAACTCACGCAAGGGGCTGTCAAAGGCTGCCGCCGAGGAGGCCTACGTCCAGGTCTACGAGAAATACGCACCCATTTACGCTTAAACTTTTCGTATATTATAGTTAAATTTCACTCTTCCAAAGACTATTCATATTAATTTATAAATATTGTTAAATTTGATTATCATGTTATGTGTTTAATTGTGAATAAATTTCATGTAAAATAAAAAGTTGCAAATTATTATATTAGTGAAAGCTATTTTAAGCGTTATATAGGAAGTTCTAGCGTTGTAACTGCAATTATATTAACAGCATCAAAACGAGTTGAGCATGAGTAACTAAAAATCAGCAAAAGTTTCACTTCCTTTTCTCAGCTGAAATTTGTATCAAATTTTGAAAACATTTCCAGGTAAGTTTTTCCTAACCAATCAGGTTTTCTTCAAAGCTCTAATTCTTTATCAGTTACCGTATAAGTGAAGCTACAAATATACTCTCTTAATTTCTGCCTTGCGGAGTTTGGCGAAATTTTCTTTCAGATGTACAAAACTCTTTTGAGATTTGGGTACAGCCAATTCGGCAATTTGTAAGATGGGTTTGTTAGCCGTAGACAAGTTTGGGTACTGGGTAGGATATTTGTTTTCAAATATCTCCCTTCCGCTTTTTTGCTCTTTATTCAATGCTCTATAAAAAGTGTTATAGTGATCGGATTTAGTTCAAATATGCGTCGTTTCGTTCATAATACACCCCTCGTAGAAGTCCCCCTCCATATTAACGAAGAACTCGGACAGCCAATTTTCACCGTGGACAGGAACAGTCTGCTGTCTGGACAATATGGTGGATGTGATAAAACCGCCCATTCGAGCTGCCGTAGCTTCTGACGAGTCATCAACGAAGTGTGTAGTCTGGCGTTGTCCTGATGAAACACTACACCCTTCATGTTCGCCAATTCTGAACGCTTTTGATTGATCGGCTGCTTCAAGCGGTCCAGTTGTTCGGAGTAGACCACCAAATACACAGCAAAACCTTCCTGGTGGTCAATCCCGGCTTGGCTTGTTTGGGGCGATTCACCGGCCTTCGATCACGACAGTATTCGCTTGATATTGACGTCGCCAGTCACCATCCGCTTAAAAAAATGGATCAAGGTTACAGGCGTTAAATTGGTCGAGAAGGTTTTTTTGCTTCAAATCATGCGGCACCCAAACATCAAGCTTATTTGTGTATCCAGCCTTCTGGTCACAGGTCTTCCGCCACTCTGAATCGTCGAAACCATTAATCGGCAGTTCGAAATGATAGAGTACCAGTACCATCCCCAAAACATCATTAATCTCACGAAACGTTTCTCTAGCAGATTTGCGGACGGAAACCTTTAAAATAGCGCCAGTTTCGGCTTTAATACACTCTATGCTTTCACGTGTATAACTGTTGAACGCAATATATACATAGGTTATGTCAAGACCTTTCAAAGATAATACATAGCCGCGAAATTCAAAAGACAAGAGGGTATAACAAAATAAACAAAAAGCATGACAAAGCAAATCCGTATTTATAACTAATACCTTTTAGTATGTGGCACGATAATAGTTAATAGATAAAACCGGTTCGAAACTACCCCGACTTCCATATCCTGCGTATAATGACTTTTGCTTCTCTAACAAATCGTATGCCGAATATGTCGGTGAATATATGTACTATATAAGTTATACTATATAGGATGTATGTACACACATATATAGTATATAAAACTGCTTAGAGGTCGATTCTTTGCTTGACGTTTTACATCTTAAGATATGTAAACTGTTCGGATACACCCGATTTGTGTTTTATGTAGTTTGTTAATATGTGCGCATTGCCACGGGCTACTTGAACTTTATGAACTATTTACCACCTTAGCACTTCAACTCCACTAAATGCATTAGAAAAATAGATTAAACTGAAAATGTTTATTGCACGAAACGCTGACATCCATACAAATGTATAAAAGTATTTACAAATACAACTAAATAGTTGGGTATAATTGTGTGAGCTACCTGCCGGCAAAACAAACGTAATCGTCGAAAAATTCACCAGATCAAGCGATCAAAAGCTCAAAATGAATCGTAAACTACGTAAACACATGCCTACTCTACCATTGGCGCACGTAACTGATTATGTGGCCCCCAAAAGCGAGCTTTCGAGTGCGTCAATCGTGAAGCTTTCAGCGCAGCTGATCGCGCCAACCAATTGTTGTTAAATTCAACGAATGCTTGCGCTTCGAATTCAGACTGCAATTCGCCATTCCCGTGGAACGTTGATCGTGTAAGTTTGTTGCAATTAAGTTATAATAAATACAATTGTACTTTTCCGAAATCATACGAGCATAAGAGTCAACGGCGCAAAAGATACGCTGAGAACTCTTGATTCCAGTGCAGGTGTGACTTCTGGGTTTGTTTGCTTGTACGGTCGCAATCTTGCGGATGCAATGAAGTGGTTTAAATTGTATTAGTTAAATATATACACAGACGTAAATTAAGTAGTGTGACTAATAACTATTTTTCTGGACTTTTATGAGAGGTTTCATTTACAAATACAATATGTGCAACAGTCGAAATTCAACGCACCTTAAATGAATTGACTAATTCTAACATGTACCGCAGCTATTTTGTATTCGAACGTTTAGTAAATATTTAAATTTGAGCGCTTCGTCTACTTGCTAATGCGCTCAGCGATGGTTTATTTTAAAGGCACGAACCTTCGAACCCAAACTTCACGCGACATTTTAATGTGGTTTGCTGTGCACAAGTACGAATTTATATGTGTATGTGTGATTGTAAAATATTTGTGCTTAATAAGCTTGCTTATCCGTGTTTACCTCCTCTAATTATTCCTGTTTCACATGAACTATGTACTCTGTACTCACGTTCGTTTTCTGCATAGGTTTCAAATGCGCACGAGTCTACGATTCAACTCAATTAACACAATTAAAATAAAAATTAATGTAAAAATAAAAATTAATTTCTAATTTTGACAAGTCTGCATTGTAATGAAAGTATCCAATTAAACAATTATAATCGCAGAAATAAAGTTTACATTATTGAAATTTTAGCTTCAATTTTAACTTAAATTTTGAAAAAATTGAAACTGAAACTTTAACTGAAATACAATTTTAATAATTTGTAAAATGCTTATGTTTCAAACTTCCAACATTTCAACTGAAGCTGTTGGTAATGCATATGCATGTAGCTGTGTCTTAATCTTGTTTACCGATTTAATTATTTAAGTGCGAAAATGTTTAATTCCAGATATTATTTACGTGCAATTGCCGGGGCTACTATAAAGTCTCTAAATACTATTATGAAATAATAAAATGAAATATGTATGTGATAAAATCAGAAACTACGTAATGAAGTAAGCGCGGAATACTCCGACCTTGTTGATGACATTATCTTATAATAACTTTGTTCGGTTTATACTAAAGGTCATGCGACATTACTATTTTCAGGTCGCATAAAATTTATTTTAGTGAAAAATTTTTATACCTTGAAATTAATATACCCTAAATTTGCCATGAAGTTTGTAACACGCTGAACATCGGAGACCTTGTAAGACATATATTTATATAACCGAGCGGGTTGATATGCGGAAAATAGTCCTAGGATATTTCTGAATAACTTTGCCTAAGAGAATATGGATCAAAACCCGGTTTCAAGTCAAGATAAGATTTAATACATGGGTGCATTTTGAAATTATGTTGATCATTTGTCAATATCGGCCAGATCGGATTCTTCACGCATGGACTATTTCTTAAATCAACGTAACAATCTCTGATCATATTGTTTACAGCATATGTAGTTGTCATACAAAATGAATGATCAAATTCAAATTCTTGTATGGAAATATCTTTTTTTTTGCAGGTTATCATTTAATAGACAATTGTTTTGTTGAAGAAAATACAATGAAATTCGTCATAATTGGACATCCATCGTCACAGTGGTTTTGTCCGGCTATGGAAGCTGTTCACGTATGTGGGCATGGCAAAAACTTATAATAAATTTTTATGTGCAATAAAATTTACTTTTGTGGACTAACTAATACAGAGTACCGAGTAATCTTTCCTGATTCTATGAATGAGTTTCTACCCCAACATACATTTTGATTTTGATTTTAATTTTAGTTTTAATTTTGATTTTGTTTTTGGTTTTAATTTTGATTTTTATTTTAATTTTGATTTCCATTTTGTTTTTGATTTTTATTTTTATTTAATTTAAATTAATTTTATTTTATTTTCATTTCTTCAGATAATTTAATTTAACTTAACCAACCCTTTCGCAATTTCTGTCATAATATAAACCCAATACTCGTTCTTTTTACTTAGCCCCATTTTCTCTGGCATCATATACTGTTGTTTAGATTGTATTCGTTTGTTAAGGCTCTACAAATTGTTCAGATTTAATTGTTGCCAAGATATTACATATGCATATGTTATTTATGTTCTTTCTTCTTCAAACACTTGATCTATCATCAAGTACATATTACAAACTCCGAAAACCGGTGCCCTAAAAAAGGCGCTATTGTACCTATTGTTGCTTTAACGAAAGGTTTGGACAAACCCCGCTTAACAATGAATAACAAAACTTGCAAAATTGTTTTCCATTGGCTCCCAATCCATGCCGGCTGGAAGCAACTATTGCTTGTCATGTAGCCGTAATAAAAATTACAACAAATACAATAACGCAATAAGGCATTAGCACGCCGGTCAGAGTTTTGTTTTCAATTTAATTACACACGTTGCACAGTGTTTGGCTGCTAATGAAAAGTGGAACATCTTATTTTGTAACCGTGAAATTCGCTATAAAGCTTTTAAATTTCACTTCCGTATTGATGTTTGGTGAAAAAGTTATTTTAAATATGAAATTTATCAAATTTCCTATAATTATATGTTTCATGTAAAAATTTAAATTATTTTCTTGTTTGCTTTATATTTATATTATTCTCCTGGCGTGTATAGTACTATACTTTAATTATATTAAAACTCTTTATTTATGTGAAAGTCCAGTAATCATTGGATGCAAAAAATTCAAACTTCCGGCAATTAGTTACATATGAGTTCAAAATATGAAATGCTCAAAGGGGCATACTTCAACAATTAGAATCAGCAGCAAAAGTATTAAAAGCAGTTTTTCGTTTTATAAAACTCATTTAAAAGTGCTTATTAAAAACTTTACATATTAAAGCTTACTTTTTTTTTCATTACATTTCAATGAAGGCGCATCACATGATAAGAAAGCAAGAAAGTAGAAAGACCTGCATAAGACCGAAAATTTATTTCGGCTGCACTGAAGCTATAACACCCTGCACATATACATTTCTCTTTAGCATAAAACGATATACTATATAGTAAAGTATAGATCTCTGCCTTGATTTTTATCAGTCTCTGAGCTATGATGTCTCGTTCCGAACAATTTTCTCGAATATTGCAACATTGCCTTTAACAGCAATCTACGTCAAACTTCGAAAAGGTATCTTGTCAAATAAAAAATCTTTTCATACAAAGATTTGTTTTTGATCGGTCAGTTTATATGAGACCTATATAATATAGGTAGTAATCCGATATGGGCGCTTCCGAAAAATGAGCAGCTTATTGCGGAGAAAAGAACGTTTCATGTCGATGCCTCACAAACTGAGAAACTAGGCGGGCATTCAAAACTTATAACTTGTAACCGGAAATAATACATTTTGTTTAGCTGCATTATTTCCATTGTATTCAATTATTTTTTTCGCTATCGACACACAGTGCCACAAAAAACAACTATAAAGCGCGCTTTACAATTGGACATTTGAATGCCGCACATGAGTAATCAAATTGAATTACTACTTGGAGAAAGTTTTACCGTAACATATGGTTACAAACATTTACATAAACATATGTGTATGCGTGCCTATTTATGCTTACATATTTATGTTTTACTGTTGGTTTCAAGACAATAGACTTTGAATTAATGGGAATTGCAATGATTTAATAAAAGACAGTCTGTTACCTGCAGACGAAAGTGAAACTAAGAAATGAAGAGCTAACCAAAAGAAGCAAAATAATTTAATTTTTAGTGCAAACTCAGTTTTAAAATTTATGCAAATGCGTTCTTTGTAATGCTTATTTTATATAACCTTGAAATTTTCCAATAAATTTTTCGAAGAAAACCAAGAACCTGCACCTTGATTTAAATTTGAGATGTTCACTCGATTAAAAATTAATATATTGCGCTTCAAAAATCATGGTATGACGACCTGGCAGACCTGTTATAGGTCGAAAATTAATTACCTTCCAATTCACACAAAAGCAAAGCAAATATTATATTATATATTATATTATATGTTATATGTTTGAACAAAGACCTCCTCTGATACACTCATAAAATCCTTTTTTAGAGTATTTCTAATTATATATAAATTAACTTTCCACAAATACACTCATAAAATCCTTTTTTAGAGTATTTCTAATTATATATAAATTAACTTTCCACAAATGTCTTCCATTTAATCTGGTTTAACTTAAAATAATGTCAGAATGTCTGGAACTAAAAAAAGTTTGAAAACAATTTATTCACGAAATGGTAATTGACTGAAAAGAATAACACACTTTTGTACCACTTTTTCATAGTTTTACAGACATAGGTAAGTCTATCGAGAAAGACGCATATAAAATTTCAGTTCCGGTCGGAAAATATTGATATCTCCGAAAATAATTTGAATTTTAAAAATTTATCCATTAGACATACCTTGAATAGTTGAAGTTCTGAAAACGGTTCGTATAGTTTCGGCTGCCATTCTCCTCCTTGTTAGAGTTGGTAACCTTCATCACGTTCCAATCTTCCGTCGGCATTTTATCTCCGAAGAAGCCGCAGTGCATCCTCCTTACGATGTATCACTTAATCTTTCAAAGAACGCTACTAGCAAGTTCTTCTCTACCGCTTTCCATTTCTCCTCAGTGATCTGTCCAAAGGGGTTGCTTGATTCCCAAGGCTAGATGGCTCATATCTATCTTGCTCGCCATCGCTTTCGCTCTGGACGTTGAGCGTTTCTCTTGATCGAGTCTAACGTTGGGCCCTTTTTGTCAGCCGTTTCACTGGCACCGTTACTTGACTTTCATCGGATCGCTGCCTTTCCTTCCTCGATCGGGTTTGCGAAGCTCAGTCCGAGAATGTGAATATAATATGCTCGGGCTTTCTTCTTTTCTTGCAGTAGCCCAAGCCAATCCCTCCTCTTCGTTTTTCATCCTTCGAATTGGGTCTAAGTCTTTCCTTGACTTTCGCCGTTTTTTGTAGGTCGCTTTGCTTTCAAACCCTCCTTATTGGGTTTTGCCTTTCACCTAGTCTTTATCGCCGACATAGCACCTTTGGCATATCCCGGAGAGCGTAGCGTAGCGAAGCATATCCATTGTGTTTACGTTGCAAAGCGGATTTGGCAGTAGTACTGAAACTACTATGAACGGCTCGTTGCACCAGCCGGTGGAAGAAGCCACTTTTTCGACCGACGTTTCCGCTGATGTCCCAGCTCGTTTTTCATAATTTTGGTCTTCAATTTTAGTTTTATTTTTCGGAGAACCTCTACCCCTAGCGTCTTATACCTACCGCGAGGTGTCTCATTAGCAATGGCAGAAATATGTAGATATATAGTACACAATTCCTCTAGTTTTATAAGCAAAGCATTTTATCAGGAAGGAGAATATAACTAGAAACTAGCCCTGTTGCCAAAATGGTGGACTCGCTAGGAGGATAAAGCCAAAAGAATTTTCGCCGACCCAAATGAGATACACATAAAACACCTAGAATTCCATTAAATTTCTTGAAGGACAACTGGTTCAAACGTAAAAAAAGTTGTTTTACTGTCAAATATTTATGTAATATTTAATGTATACTTGTCTCACTAATGTGTATAACTGTCACAATCTCACTATAGATCACAAGGTCCTCATGTAATATCAGTTTGTACACACTTTCAATAGATTCCAGAGCAATGACTGAGTTTGGACGATCTTCACGAAATTCGTCGTATACGATTCCGATTGTACTCACCATACCTTCGATAAAGGACCTTTCATCGCCAAAAATTTATTTATGTTCATGTAAAAAATTCGCTCGAGAATGTTCGCAACTTTATTCTATTTTTTGGCCGAAATGAATATTTCAAGTTACTGTTAAGAACACACGTACAAATAGCGCTCATATGCCAAAACATTCTGATAATATGTTAAATTAAAAATGTCAAACTTTACAATAAAATCGTGAACGGCCAAATGTCCACACTAGAGTTGCTAAATCCCGAAACATAAAAGACTACCTACGTATGATCTTGACCTCCTTGTTTACTAGTATAAACTATAAACAGAATAAATGAAGTAAATAATGTATTGAATAGCAAGGCATAACCACGCTACGAAGTCGAGAGGAACATTCCAAGCCAATACTGTATGCAAATATACTATATACAAATATATATATATATATATATGTCCTTGTACACATACATACAAGTCTGGCCTTGAGAAGTTTACACGAAAGTGAATGAGTCGTTTCCCGTAAAAAAACAGGCTTCATTTGTAGGTCAAGCTTCATCACGGGCAAGGCTACAAACTGCTCTTGCTAGGTGTTAAGCCAAGTGTGTGTGTGCATGAACGGATTGTTGCTCCGCTACTATCATAATCCATATCATTCAATTTATTATTACCAATTCAAGGTGATATTTTAGCGATCCCTCCATTTATTCCATATAAAATATGCAATATTAATTATCTCTTATTTTTTCTTCTTTCAGCAAATTAATTTAAAGATTACCAAAAAATGTCGCTTGATGAGGTAATTACATAGTTTCATACATTTATTTTTGAAATATTAAAATTATATTGTTGTCTTTATTACAGAAATTCAATGCCGCTGCTGAAAAGGCAAAAGCCTTCACGAAACGTCCCACCGACGAGGAACTGCTGGAATTATATGCGCTCTTCAAACAGGCCACGGTCGGCGATAATAACACATCTAAGCCCGGTATGCTCGATCTAAAGGGCAAAGCCAAATGGGAGTTCTGGAATAAGCAGAAGGGTAAATCACAAGACGCCGCCAAGCAGGAATACATAGAATTTGTAGAGAAATTGTCAGCTTCTTATCTTTAATGTAGAGAGTCATACTTGTAAATATAAAATGGACAAGTGAAATTTAAATTTTTTTTTTTGGAAATATAAAATGAATGAACAGAAAATATTTTAATCGGGACTATTTTAATCCCTGTTGAAGTTTCTTGTAACCAGAAAAATATTCTTCAAACAATTTAACTTTACTGTAAGGAAAACATTATGAGCATTACGCACCCCTTCACTCAACTCGCAAGTTCTCATTGCCCTCGATGCCTTTGCCACCCAACACTCAGTAGTAGTGTACCCACTTTGTTCTGGCGCCACTCTGCACTGCTGCCTCGCTTTCCAAGCCGATATGTGACATGAGGTTAATGCGTTGATTCCTGCTTGGCTGTCCATACAGATGTCAACTCCGAAGTTGTCTGTTGAATCATTAGAGGCTAGATCCGCAGTAGCAAAAATCTCTATCTGAAATATACTGCAGTAATCTGACTGCTTAAAAGGGTGTCTTTTTCTGTACTCACCTGGAAAATTGTTTCCCAATTGATAATTGGAATCATGCAGTCGATGCTTGCCAGATCATCGTTACCATCGAGCTACTATATGTCTGAACATTCTATATGCCACCGCGCCGATTTTGCCGCGCAGCTTTCAGCGATTAAATAAAAGAAGTCGTCGGTGCACATGACGGTCGTGCACGATTATTATAAATATTTAGATTGCTCAAGAGTTAAAAATAAAACAATAGCTTTTATGTAAGGGTGCCACAAAACACACAAAAAAAACTTCATAGATAGAATTTCCATTTCCTAAACGCAACGAAGCCGATCCATTTCTAAAGCGGTTGTTACTGGTGATAAAAAGTAGGCCTTATATTTCGTGTTGACTAACAGGTTAACAGTCCGCTCTATATGGAATAATTTGAAACAAAAGACTTAAGCAGCAAACTTCAGTAACATCTGAGTGAAAAGAATTTCAACTTTACAAATTTAAATTTGTGAAATTGCAGCGATACAATTTTATAATTGCAAATTAGTAAAATCACAGTCAAGCATCCAGAATTAAGAAAGTATACGTTATGCTCAGGGCAAAAAGAGTTGAAACAAAAAATTCAATATTTTTAATTAATTTTCTGTATCATGACACACATATTTAACATTAGTTACATATATTTAAGATAACGTTTTGCTCGGTTATATAAGAAGAGAAATATTTGATAAAAAAAAAAAAAAAAAATATCGCCCCTAACCTCAAATTATGAACTCTTGATTCAATAGAAGTGTTAGAGAGATTATTATAAACATTTCTGTATCTATTTTTAATTAAATAATCAATACATTTAAGAATCAAAGTCTTTAAGAAACGGTCAGGAACAAGATTGAATGAAGATACCCGCTCATAGCTTTGACTTCACTTGCTGAGGTTAGATTTTCCAGTTTTAAATTTAGAATTTTTTGAGATTTGATACTTTCGGCCGAAGTACCTCTTCTGTAACCAATGCGAATAAGATAAATGTTAAGTATAATAATCAAAACTCGGTTAACATTTGTTTGAACATGGAATGCGTGCCCTTCTGCCTACTAGTTAAATGTTAAATTTTACCATCTAACAAAAGCATTGACACTGATTTGACAAATTGGAATCTTTTTTTCCTTTATTTATTCTTTTTAAAATACAGTTAGTGTATTTAGATATTTATCTTTTTTGATTAATTACTTTAAGGGAATATTTCCGATACTTATATTAATATATTTAATCGTAATTCTGCTATTTAAATCGAAAATTTAGTCGATTTGGAGTTACAATTACCAAACCGAGTACAATAATGCTTACATTTCTAATAAGTATTCGTATTAATTCAGTGCTTTCAAAACTCATCAACTGTTGGTTTCTCAACAAATGTTGCTAAACAAATCAACAGGTGAGACGAAAAATCCAGAACTGTGTGCAGTTTTATCGCTCGCTGGCCAACACATTTAGCTCGGTACTATAAAGTTCGCCCCTAAGAGACGACAATAAAACGAGCTGCAGGCATAATTCAAGGTACACCAAATGTTTATCTCTTTTCATGTACATCTATTGCAGAGTTTTCATGAATGAATGGCAAACGGCCAGCATGAATTCAATGTACATAGGTGCAGTGCCATAAACACACAGGAATGAATGAGAGTGTACCCACTCACATGGTATGCATGTGTTTGTGGGTACTAAGAGATAACAGGTATAATGAATGATATATCCAAATTGCCACCGGCGCTTATTGGTAATTGTACAAGAATACATATATAAAGGAACGCTGCTGCAATATGCTCTTTGATTCAGTGAGAGCGTGAGAGATTGCTGGTGAGTGAATGTTGCGTTTACTTATCAGACACCAGCTTTTTTCACATTTTATATGAGCATAAAAACCCTCGATGGAAAGTATCAACGTACGAAAGAGTCCATTAAAGAAAAATATTAATTTTTTCTGAAATCCTTCTGAATGTGAATTCAAAGCGATAGTCTTAACCTTGACTAGATAGAATTTAGCATTTGCAAGATGTGTAATATAATCACTTTCTAACTCTCTTCGAGCTATTTATAAGCATTTTGGATATGGCCCACATATTTAATAATATGTAATAAAGAAGTTTTCACTTGTTCTCTGATAGGTTTAACTAATGACTAGAGAAAATCCTTTAATTGTTTTTCATAATATTCTCTATCAAGATCTGTAAATTTTTGCCTGCGTTTGAACTAATCGTTGAAGCACTTTTGTCACTCTCATTGAGGTATTTCCAAAATATGCGTTCTGTACGCAACAACCCACTCTTCAGACGTCGTAAAGTTCAAGACTTTACCGTGGATTACTTATGAAATCAATGTATTCAAAGTTGTTTCAGTCAATATGTGAGAGTTTCGCAATGTCGGGATAAGTTTTCCTGATTTCTTGAAAGATTCCTGAAAAAAACGGTAATGTGCCACACAAAATTTACTGGTCTACATTACACTAGTGGTATGGTTATGACATCTTCAGTATTTCCAAGACTATACCATTTGATTATACGTGTTTTGAAGCAACGCTTTCATATTTTTTAACACTTCTCAAGCGATCGAAAAAATGTGTGGGATCTAACATGATTTTCTTCTTTGCAGTCAAATTTTTTTGGAATATTGAATGTATTCTGATGCTACTAATGTCTGTAATTTCAATCTCACGATGGTTCACACAACCATCCTGAAACAAGAGTTTGCGCACAGCATCAATAGTTTCCGGAACTACATTTGATTTTGAACGAGCTAGACGAAATTCATCTTGGAGTGACCTACAACTTCGATTGAACTCACTGGTCTTTGATAGAGCTTCATCGCCAAAAATTTAGTTAAGTTCATGGATACTTTGTCGCTGAGATAATCCACTCGGCTCGGGCTCGTGAGTCGATGTGATCCTTATTTGGAAACGTGGATCCAAGGGCCTTTATCCTGGGGCTGCAGACTGCTATGCGATCAAATACCAGGTGTTCTGGAGTTTCAGGCTTTCTGAAGCTGGGCCCATGTTATATAAGTGCTTCTTATATATACGGGAACTAGTCCCTCAGTTATTGAAATATGGATCTGAAAATTTGCTCATATCCTTTTTTCTCTAAGAAGCTGATCCTTTGTGAGAACCGGCGTTATCGAACTAATATAACATTTAGCTGTCATACAAACCTTTTCTACTTGACAGTATATTATCAATAAATTCGACATAGATTATTGCCCAAGACATGACTACAATATCCAAGGAAATTTTCCAGATCGGACTACCTTATGATATAGATGCCATGAAACTGAGGGATCAAAATAAGTTCTTGTATGGAAACCTCTTTATTTTGTAAGAGTTACTCTTGTTTTAATATTCATTAGAGTAGATATAAAAATCAAAATATGTCATCTCTGAGGCAACTGAGGTAGGGCAAATTTTTTTGGTATTCAAGTTCTACCGCTTCAACTATCTATCTTAAACTAATAGTGGTTTAAAATAGCAAGAGGATGAATGCACCTGACTGAAATATCCGAATTTTATCGCAAATATACTAAAATAAAATTCCAACAGGGTTGTATATTGTGAATAAACACATGTGTACATGTGTGTGTGTGTTTGGAAGTGAGAGGTACAAAACAAACTGGTAGCAAACGTTTGGCCCTGATCTCTATTTATCTGCTCCCACCTCTACATATACGCTGTCTCTTATACACATCTAGATGTGTATAAGAGACAGGTGTACATGTGTGTGTGTGTTTGGAAGTGAGAGGTACAAAACAAACTGGTAGCAAACGTTTGGCCCTGATCTCTATTTATCTGCTCCCACCTCTACATATACGAATGCATGCTACCATAAGAGTCCACCGCTTGCTTGACGCTGAGTATTTGTCAATTGTCGAGGCACGAGTGGTGGTTGAGCAGAGTGCCGACGACGACAATGACAAATGAACAAGTTAGTGAGGTGCGATCTGCGCTGAGCGGTCGGTTTCTGCCATTTACGATGCGGCGCTTCAAATCAGTCTACAAGTTGGCTTATTCGCGTTTGTTCGATCGTTGGGCGATAAGCGGATGTCTGCAAACAACCAGGCAGGCAGTGAAAACACAAGTAAGTTGTTGTTAGTGACCAAACAAGTGAGTGTGAGTGAGCAATAAAAAAGTTGTCGCCGCCGCCGGGCCAGAACCAGCCACCAGACAAAGGTGGTGAATAAAACAAGTGGGGAAAAGAGTAAATAAAACAACAACGATAACAAATGTGAAGTGAAACAAAACGCAAAACAACAAGTAAGCGAAGAATAATGAACTTGTTTGTATTGCTGATGCGTTACCAGCGCCGTCGATGGCTGGCTTGTTCTTGTTTTTAAGTATTTTGGCCACCATCATCAAAGTTGGCAGATAAATGCGCCGCAATTGAAAAAAAAAATACCTATAAGTACTATATATACCACAAGAGTTGCAGAAATTAAAGAATCTTAAGTTTAATAAAAAATACTACACAAAAAAGTGATAAAGAGCAAAATACGTGAGTGACTGAGCGAGTAAAGGCATTAAATTTTATGGCACTAGGTACTAAACCAGCAAGTAAAACACAAAAAAAGTTGTAAAAAAAAGAAACCAACTGAACAAAACTGGTACAACAGCGCTAACCGGACTGGGTGGTGCCGTGAAAAAAACCGCAAACGAATAACTACGCGCATATTTTAATCATTTCCTTATTATAACTTACGGCTTGTATCCTTTGTTGTTGTTTCATGTGTGGAATAACGATACAGCGGTGATATTTTTTGAGCAATTTAAAGAAGAGTGTTGTTGTTCATTTATGCACGTCTATCTTGTTGCTGATTTGTTACACAAATAATAACAAAAATTCGCAATATCAGCGCAAATGACAAAGTTGCCCCTGCAGCAAAACAAATGAAGTGCAACTGCAGTTATCGTTGCTTTTGTTGTGTACATGCGTTTAAGCTTGGGTGTGTGTGTTTTTCGTTTTCGTGCATTCTGTTGTACTGTGAGTGTTTTTGGCTAAAATAAAAATTTGTTTACGCTTTGAAATTCGAGCTAGCAGAAATGCGCTGAACACAAAATTATGCATTTTTATGGTGAAGATCGCAAAAAGCAGTGGAAGTGATAAGGTATAACGCTGTATAAAATATTTGTGATAACAGTTATAAATAAAATATATATATATCTAATAATATTTTTAATAAATATATAGATAAAAAAGCAAAACAAATACAAAAATGCAATGCAAAACAACGTATCATCAAAAAAATCGAAAATGAATTTCTTATTGGTTTCGATTCACTACAACATGTTACATATATGTACATATGTAGCATTAATTCTTTAGCTTGCGCTGTCAGTTGTAACCACCATATAACCTATATATAACCAATATATAACCATTTTATAACCAAAACTCAAATTTTATTTTCGTTTTATATTGTTTTGCCTTCGCCTATCAACTTTCGAAAAGTGATGTTACGTTATTTTATATTTAAGGTGATTATGTGTATCAATAATACAACATAAATAAACATTAATAAATATATACATACGCAATTTTAAATTAATATATATTTTAATAGAAACGTGCAAACATATACATATCTATGTATGGATATCAATGTATATAAGTTACCTACAGAAATGACAAATAAAACAAAATTTATCGTCGTCATCAACCGCGCACAACAGCTACAACAAACAGTCGTCATGCTCAAGATATAAATCGCCGCTTCCTAGTGTGTTAATACATACAAACATATGTTAAATGTGTGTTTTTCGTATATGTATGTGCGTGCTTATGTGTATATTTCCATATATCACGTTTGTGTGAGTAGGTGTACATACATATATACATGTATATGCATGCCTTGATAACTCAAATCAGATTTTGCTAAAAAAAACGTGAATATCGCACAGCAAAACAACAAAAAAAATCAATTGTTAATAAATAGTTGGCGAGAAGAGGTCACCGCATATACATACATATCTACATATTTATGCATATAAAGCATAAAAGTAAATATTTTTAAAGAAATGCATGTAAGTTTATAGCAATTGCTGCATAGTTTGGCATATACGCACTTAAAACCACATTTCTACATATAGTCACCTAAAATGCAAAACAACATATCATCAAAACAAAAAAATCGAACATTGCTGTCTTATATACCAATACATAACCAATATATAACCATTTTATAACCAAAACTCAAATTTTGTTTCAATATGAGTGGTTTCTATTATATCGTTTTTCCTTAGCCTGTAAACTTATGAAATGTGATGTTACGTTATTTTGCATTTCAAATGACGATATATACATACATGTGTGCCTATATAAGCGTAATTTCAGTACATACGTATCTACATGATCAACTATTTATCGACACGCTGCATTTACGTTGCAGCAATAAACCCCAACTCAACTAAAAACCAACTATTTAACTACCAATAACAGAAAACCAACAAATACAAGTAGAGCACTTGCGCATGTGCACGTATAACCAACGTTCGCGCAGACTAACAAGTGAACGCACATATTTATACAGCGTACAAACATTTGCCATACAAGCGCGCCACTATAGTGTCCGTCAAAAGTCAGCCAACCGGTCCGCAGCGCACAATCCAACGCATCAAATCTTAACTCGTTCCATTCAATCACCACTTCAAACCAACTAAACCAGCGTCCAACTGCTAACCTCACTAACCGCTACAAATCAGCATTTCCCTCACACAACACACACACACTTTATACAGCACTGCTGCTTTGACCACCAGTTCACTGATCGCACAGTGTACGCGCGTTCTGCAAAGCGAACGTTTGGCGGCCCAAACAGCTGTTGGCCTTTTTGAGGCAACCACCAACACGCTTCAGTCGCCAGCATGTAAGCAATAGCTTATGTGCTGGTGCTGCTTACATATGTGGTAAGTAACAAATTACCGTTATGCACTGTTGCATTGTCAAACAAAAACAAATGCACTCGTCCACAATGTACAATATTAATGTGCAATATATTTTGAAATGCAAATTCCATCAACTGCAACTATTGCACAAAAAAAAATTAAGAAAACTATAAAATATTATATTTTTAATTTGTGCAGAAATTTTATAATTTTAATATTTTGCTCTACATAAATCAGTCCAATTTGCCACTTAACACTTTGGCATTTTCACATAATCAGTTTAATTGAGCTTTTACTAATCACTGCCATCGAAGGTATACAAATTTGTTAATTCAACCAGCCGCTTCCTCACCTCATTTGTATATGTACGTACGTATTTATATAAATATGTGTACATATGTATGTTTATTGTATACAGGGTTGGTATCGCAACTACTTGCTTTAAACGCTTTTCTCATCCCACTCGCTCACTCAAATGTAGCTGCACACGCATACTCCTATTTGCACACAAACTCACAGACGCAATATGTGAGGTGACAGGTAAGCAAATTCTTTCAGGTGTCTGCATTACCACTGAATATTAGTAACTGCCGAATGTTGCGTTAGTATTGGTGAGATGTGTTTGCACTCTGCAGGAAAATTTTGCGTAAAACATGATATTTTATTTGTGTTGACTGTTTTACAAGATCGGTGTCGCTGGTGACAATTTCGATGCGAGAAACTTCAAATTTTATAAGGAATGTTTATTATCATTCGAAAGAATGCGGCTATGTCTTAGATGGTCCATCAGTTGACTTCAATTTTCGATGACTCATTCGATCATTTTGCTCCAAGACTTAAATCGAAGGAGAATTGTGAGAATATAAAAACTCTATCATATGCTCTCAGGAAAAAGTCCAACGGTGTGATATCACACGATCTTTGAGATCAATCGGTCGGTGAATTTATCTGCTCAACGAAGTCTTCTCTCAATAAATTATTTGATTGTGAGAAGTGACGTCATCTTGTTGAAACCAAATGTCGTCGAGATCATGAGCTTCAATTTTAGGTATCACTGGACACATTTGTGAAGAAATATGGACCAATGATTGCACTATCTCACAAACTACACCAAACCTTTTTTTCTGTATGAAATGACAGTTCCTGAATTTCTTCAGGTTGCTCTACGTCCCAAGTGTGACATATTTTTTTGTTTACATACCTTTTAAACCAGAAATGGGCCTCTTCGCTAAACAAAATTTAGCAATTCAAAATTAGCTAGAAATAGCTCTAACATCATATTCGCAGAATGACTGAAAAATGTTACGGTTACTAGACCTTTGATTACGTTAGGGCAGGTTTACCGAAACGCTTATGAAATCATCCTTACTTCAGATTGCCAATAGAAAAATGTTTATTGTTAATTTCTCAAAAATAACATTTTAAGTTGCGTTCACAAGAACAGCTACTTTACTTAACAAAGTATATTTTGCCTAAAGTGGATGTTTATACGTGTACTCAAACCGAGTTTCATTTAGGAAAGGAAGACGAGGTAAGACGCTCCGTCTCGGGGGCGCCATTAGTACTCTTTTTTCAAGGAGCTCACTGTTACTAAAAATACCGTTTAAAAACAATCACTTCAAAAATCATAGAATTTCCTACAGACTATATTTCCAGAAGAGTAAACAATACATGTTTTATATGTACATACATACATTTATGCATTTGTTGTACATGGTATATACAACGCTATTCTTAAATATTGGCATTGTCTGCCAGTAGAATGTCTCTCAACAGCCTTACTGCTTACTGTAACTTTTCGAATGAGATATTCTTTGACTACTCTAGTTACTCTTTTGTTCCAAAATTTTTGCTCGATAAAATTAATTATTATTGTTTATTTCTTATGTTGTTTTTATTTTTTCACTGAACCTATACAAGTATAACTCTCACATTTACCTGCCGTTTTTTCCGGAATCAGTTTGAATATATGCATAAGAGCACAAATGGAGCTATACATATTTGGGAATATGTGTGGAGTGACAGATTTATACACGCTTCGCTGCAATATTTAGCTTTGCATTTATTGTTACTGCCATATTTTGGTATTCTACACATTAAGAGCGAACTTTTACTTTCCGGCTCTGCTGTTTTATTTATTTATTTATTTATTATTATTTTTTTTTTTTTTGGTAATTTAATTTAGTTATTGTTTTGATTCTATTCTTAAATTCATAAATTATTCTCTGCCATCCGTTCCAGCCAATACTGGTATTGCTTTCACGATCTTGTGTTCACAAGCCGATTCATCTTCTTTTACTGCAGCGTTAAATTTAAATAATAAATGTGTTCCCACCAATTCGTCGCGTGTAAATCAGTATTAATTAAAACGTACTTATCTCTAAATTGAGTTTCTTCGATTTGTTACGCCAAACCGTTTATTAATTAATTCAACTTGTCATGGGAAAATCCACTCCTAAGCTTTAAAGTTTAAGACCTATGTATGTATGTGCCTTATCTACTTACATATAAGGTGTCACCAGAAAAATATTTTTCTTTGCAACTGTACTATACGTTCTGTGGAAAGCAGAAAAGGTGAAGCCTAAATGATTATAAAGTGACGGTGTATTTTAGAGTAATTTTTTTTTTTTTAATATTTTKAAGCATTTACATAAATGGGTTAAGTTTGGTTATACTGGCTGAATGTCATGCCATATATAACCCTATAGATGCTATGCCATGCCAGATGAAGATTCAGTTTAATACGAGCTGAAATTTACATTGTTCATGACTGGATATTTAATTCTGATATTTTTATCCAGTCCCTTGAACTATGAAGCTTCTAAACATCTAAGCCGAGTTATAAATAAGGCCGGATAGCAGTAGAAGAGGTATTTTTCAGCTTCTCTCTCATGCTTCTTGCCAGCACTTTCTACATGTATCATCGTTAATAATTCCGTTCAACCAAGTCCTTCGAAAATTGATTTGAACGCATGCAAAAGTTTATAGAAGTTTTAGTTCATTAATAAAGGATCTTCTTCTTCTTTATTTGCCCATTCGTATTCGAATATTGATGACATATAACATTTATCAACCGTAGATTAAAGGATCGCTATTCCCAAAATATAAAAGGCAACCTACATATAGGATTTACAAAGAAGTTTTGACAATATTATTAACCCATTAATATCCGTTATAATACAAGTTAACAGTGATTTTGAAATCGATGAAAAGGTGGTGTGTGTCGATTCTCTTTTTACGAGTCTTTTCCACGATTTGGCTAATAGTGAATATCTGGTCAATTGTAGATTTTCCAGGCCTGAAGCCACACTGATAAGGTTCAATTAGTTTGCTGACAGTGGGCTTTGATTTTTTACACAATACGCACGATAGAACCTTATATGCGATTTTAAGGAGGCTTATCCCACGGTAGTTGACGCAGATTGTGGGGTCTCCCTGTTTGTGGATTGGGCAAAGCACACTATATTCCAATCCTCGGGCATGATTTCATCCGACCATATTCTACAAAGAAGCTGATGCATGCTCCTTAACAGTTCTTCGCTGCCGCGTTTGAATAACTCGGCCGGCAATCCATCCGCCCCGCCGCTTTGTTGTTCTTCAGACGCGTAATTGCTATTCGAACTTCTTCATGGTCGGGCAAAGGAACGTCCGCTCTTACGCATGCTCAGTATGCTCTGGGCTCTCAACTGTCGGTATCTATATTATGCTGCACGTGTTATAGTCGATTATGACGCTAAGAGATAGATCTGTTTTCACTCCACTGCGATATAACACGCCTCATTATATTAGATATTCTTTTGCCTTTTTCGAAAACCAATGGTTTCGTTTGCAGCTATGCGTAGGGAGCTTGAAACGCCGTCCCACAGTTTCCTTATACCGGCTTTCTTAAAACCATATTGAAAGCCTTGTCACAATTGTTACGTTTACATATTCGGGTCGTATGATATTTTCCTCCTTTTACTATATTATAAATGGTCTGTGAATAAGAGACTTAGGGCCGCTTTCTCAATGTCTGATTAGCATACATCTGCCAGTTCAGTTCTGGTTAAAAAACGGCTGTTTATCGAAAAAATAAGTCTTGCTAAAATTAAGCACATTAATGTTAACCATAATTAATAGACCATATTTTTTAGTTTTTTCTGGAGCAGCATTTCGCAAAATAAATTTGTAAAAGTTAGCCAAAACGTTTCCAGCCGATAAAGCTAAAAAGCAGTTATAATTTTACAATTACAACTCTGTGTGAGCTGTTAGTTCATAACTGAAATTGCCGTTTGTATAAAATATTTATGTGCAGCTGTTGCTTGCCTCTCTTTCGCCGCAAGCGTGATTAGTAGCAACAAAAACAGCCATTTATTACTTGCAGCAAGGGTGTGCATGTGTGTTGCACATTAACATCTACGCAACAAATGTGCAACAAGACGGCCGACTGGCATGCCACTAAGCAGGAAGCATTGTTGCGTCTCCGCGTCTGGTTACGAAGCTGGTTTTCCCGCCTGTCCGATTACCAACCTGACTGACTCTCAATCGATCCGGTTATTTCTGCAATACGAACCCAGGCCGTTCGATTTGTTTGTATTATAAGATTGCAGACGTGAAAAAGAGTTTGTGTATATGTCCCTTGCATGTATGTTTCACGTTTAACTCCTTTGTATCGTATTACGTCGACTAATAAATTGAATGCATTTTGTTCATGAAGCGTTGATCGCCGAGTTCATACAGCGACTCTGGCACTGATATCGCCAATATTATGTAACTCTGTTTGCACTAACACACACGCAAACCCAATTTGCGAATTGCTTTATGAACATATGCCACTTTTAATTTAATAAGCAGATTTGAGGTTAAGTTAGGTGGTCCATAGTAAATTTCAGATTCTTTTTTATTCCTTTCTATTCCTATACCTATTTTAAAAAGGGAAGAGTGTTAATTCATGTAAAAAATAGGCATGTTTTTGTGAATTTCTTTGGGAGGACATAGTCGAGATCTCTATTAAAACAAATGGTCCATTAATATTAATGACATTCGATGAATTATGTAAAATTTTACGAATAAATATTCGAAATACAACACTGACAGTAATTATTCAAACGTGTCCCGATAAAAAAGAAACGGTTCCCCTCAATAATTGTGTGTATCATATGAAATCAAATAGGTTAGGTTAGATTGCTGATCAAAGACCGCACGTGGACTGCTATATTTAGTTCTTTGTGAAGCCATAGAAAAGAAGAACTCCTGCGTTCGATTTAATAAATTAGCTTAGTAGCAAAAACAAATTTGCACAGGAGTTCCGTTCCCGCCAGTTCGGTAAGTTGACTTCTCAAACTCATTACAATCACGAAGACAGTGTTAATTTTTTTCCGTCTCAACTTCATCCATACAAGTTCTGCAGATGACGACGGGCAAAAAGCTTTTGTGATAGCGCATGTACCGTTGGTGGCCCAGCACTGGCCAAGCGTCCGCGAATCCCACCTATCTAGTAGTAGAATACAAGAGAATACTCCGACCCACTCCCATTCTACCGATAGCGGTTCTAAGGTACTTTGCTAGCTTATTAGCTTTACAGTTTCCTGCGATTCCGCTGTGCCCTGGCACCTATACCAGCTTTATCACAAAGTTACTCGATGCTATTGATAGTGAGGTTGGGCACTTCGAGCCAACTTGACGAGCCGTGAACCCACTGTTAATGAGATAAGGGCTAGTCAGAAGTTGGAGTTGTTACAGAGGTCCTGTCAGTAAACCCCTCCACCAATCTTCTCCCCAAGCTTTGACTCATCCGTAAAGAAGCTCACTACCTCTCCAACACCTTTTTCCCATCCAAAACTCCCTCGCCGGTATATGGGCAGAGAAAGGGACGACAGAGTTTGGTTTGGCGACTCCATGATCCAAGTGATCCAGTATGAGATCAAAGTGTGTCAGGATATCCGAGTGCTCTTACACGTGTTCTTTAAGGAGTCCAGATTCTCTGAGTCTGATGGCGTTGAGTGTCATGGTTGGAGTGGACCTTAGTGCACCACACATGCTCTCATCAGAAAACTGAACAAACAAAAAGCGGATGGAAAACCCTAAACACATCATATTGCCCCTCTTTTTGAATCAATACTATGCAAATATTATTCGAACTTGCTTATAATAGATTATTATGGCAAAGATCATTTTTTTAGAATAATCCAATAATATACCTGATCGAAACTTGGATATACTTTTGTACCCCAAAATTGTATATTCAGTTTGAGTAAATTGAAGACATTAAACGTGAACCGCTAGGCGCATTGAAAGTTTTTTCGGGAACAACGTAGATTTTTAAGAATAAATAAAAAATTTGAGAATTTTGAAGAAAGTCTTACTATTTTTCGCTCACAGTAGTACTTTATGTAAAGGCCTAAACATCTTATGTACACATAACATTTCTCATTGTCACAGTCACCTCATTTATGTAATTCAGTATGTACTAACTAAAGCAAAGCAATTAAATCCACTTCCAGTATATGTTAATCCCTCAAGGTATTTTGCTAATCTAAAGCAAGTTGTAAGCACTGAAAAAAATTCGTGAGTGTATTCCAATTTATTTTATTTATTTAGCTTGCTATATTTCATTTTACGGATTCTTCATTCGTTTTATTTTTTCAATCTTTCGTTCACAATAAAGTGGAAACAATTTAGAAATAAACCAATCATCCCATTCATCGTTCTCGTTGAAGGTCCACACCTCAAATTGGAAGAGAAGTCTGGACAAATCAGACTTTCTCGAATGTTTAGCTATTCCTATCGATCTGTTATATTTTTCTAAGCCTTAATTTTTTTACTCTTGCAACATATTGGTACAGAGTTTAATAACTGTGTTCACTTAACGGTTGTACGTATCACCCAAAACTAAGCGTTAGAGATATAGGGTTATATATATATAAAACTGATCAGGATTACGAGAAAAGTCGAAATCTATATCTATCCGTCCGTCCGTGCAAACTGTAACTTGAGTAAAAAGATTGGTAAACATGTCCCTTGGAAAAAAGTAAGGCCGAGTTCGTAGATTGGAGTGCCACAACTTCTTAAAACACGATAAATCAATAACGAAATACGCCAGAGACATTAAATCTTAACCTCGAGATTGCATAGACAGCTTTATAAGCACCAGAGCTGAAATTGGACAATGGGCGTGGCACCGCTGAGTTTTTACCACAAAATCGGTGAATATATGAGACATATAATTGAAATTCAGGAATAATCTTTTCCTGACAATGATATATCTGTGTGTGATTTTTGAACTTCCGGATGACCGTATATATCGATATATCGGTTAACATGTGAGTTATCTCTATGAAAATGAGAGAGAGTGTTTTACTGAAATGGATAAAATTGCCCTAGCCCCGAATCCGCGTGACTTTACTCCATATGATTGGTGATTGTACTTTAATGACCTTTAGACAACATTTTATTAGTATGTCTGTGGCAAAACAAAAGCATGTAATATTGCCAAAAATAGGTAAAGTTGGTTTTCTGACATTTACAGAGCGATTTGTAAAACGTATCTTAAAGTAGGTTTCACTATGAAACATCAGGTTGTTATAAAAAAAAAACATGTACGACTATAGTTTAAATGAAGAGATTGTCATATACCTTATCTCATATTAAATCGACTTATCCAACTTTCTCTACTACCCCACCGACGGTAAAAAGACGTTAAGCGCCAGTAAGTTCACTAGAGCTTATCTAAACTTCATATCACTAGACCCAACGGAATACCAGAGCACATATAATTTTTTATTTTAATCAATTAACTTTTCAACATGTACCAGTTGTGGGGAACCCCCAATACTGGGTGCAGAAAGTACTATTTACACAAGAATTTCATTACCTCAGCGAAAAAAATTGCAAGTGTTGCAAATATCAACAAAGTGAAGAGAAGAAAATAAATTAAAGTAACAACAACAAATGTGTAGTTGAGGAGAACATCCATCGAATATGCTTATTCTTGAGTACCCATTTCGAACCTAATTAATTGAGGTATGTGGCAAGAGTGTGACGGGCGGCGGAGAGTGAGCTGTTGGCGGCCAGTTACAATATACCTTTCACCTGAAAAGCGAATGTGAACTTGCTTGTAGAAACGAAGTTAGATGGTTTACATATTGTTGTAACGTCACATTCGACCATTGCTGTTGTGCTGCAGAGGAGCCGTGAAATTGTGGACCTGTTGAACTCGAAGCAAAGTAATGACACAAATAACTATAAAGGCTTGAAGTTAGTGAATTGATATAGATTTCACACGCATTTGAAGAAAAAGAAGACACAAGCATTTGCAATATCGAAATTGTGCGCGAATGCAGAAACTCATTGAAAAACTATTTTCAGACGAAATCTATTTAAAATTCGTCTGTGGACATTAAAAAGTTCTGTGCAAGTGATTTTGTTGTTATTGTTTTTTTGTTTTTTTTTTTTTTTTTTTTTTTTTTTTTTTTTTTTTTTTTTTTTTTTTTTTGCTAAATGTATTATTCTTTTTTCCCATTGCAGTCCCATCGCAGAGGGGATTAAAGAGTGCTAAATGTGCTCATCGCCGTTTCGGTGATCGCTGCCTAATAATGTATAGACTGAACTAACTAAGGCCACCATACACTTACTTACATTCATACATATGCACATAAATAGGACTCTTGAAAGTTGTGTATATGCGCATGTATATGTTTGCGCACATGAGAGCAAACCATTACCATTTTCACAAGCATTGTGTTCATTTCAAAAGCAAAAAAGACACTTCTTGAATACGCAGACTCAAAAGGAAAAAAACTACAACAGAAAAATGCACGAGCTCTTCACAAAAGTACTCTCCAAACGTGATCTATCCCGTGCTGGCGATCTTTTTTCGGTACCAGATTCGGAAATCGTCAACGACATCAGCGAAGTGGTAAGCTACTAATAATATCAATTTACTAAGACTACATATATGCATATATTTATTTATGGTATTCGTAGAAACCTTATACAAAAACTACTTTCTTTTATATCCCAAAAAGCTTTCCGACATCAGTCCGATTATTTCACATCCGGACTACCTCAAAAACAATAATGATCAGTCAGTAGTGGAGATTTGTGTTACTCGTGTGCTCTCTTGCATACGCGAGACAAAGACTGCAGAACGTTATTGTGCCGCATTGGTTGATTTATTGAAGACATGCTTGTTGTGGAACCTCCAGCCGGCTGGAACGGCTAAAGAGGATCCACCACATGCCAAAATCGCCGCCGATATTATCTCGAGTATATTTTTGGTAAGTTAAAAGCATTATAACAAGCAAGCTGAAATTGTATTTTTTAAAGAAAAATATATTTTTACTACTATGAGCAAAAAATAGTAAGACTTTGTTTACAATTTTAGAATTTTTAATTTACTATTAAAAACTATGTCGTCCGCCCCAAAATAATCTACTTTGTTCCCAGTTGTTAAAGTATCTCCGGATTAGCCTTCAATGCGCGATTCACGTTTAATGTTTTCAATTTTCCAAAACGGTTTCCTCGTCGGTCGCCTGAGTTTTCCCTATAGCCAGAAGTCCTACGTAGCTAAATCACGCGAATACGGTTGTTGCGGCACGATATTGGATGAAAATATGTCGAAAAACTCACGAAAAATCAATGCAGTCTTCGACGGGAATTATCGTGGTACAAAATATTTCCAGCCTCTTTTTACGAATAGCTACGCGCAAACGACGCATAACACTCAAATAGTCCTTGGTAACAGTTTGGCCGGTCGAAAGGGAATCATAGTGCTCCACACCTCGATAATCCAAGAAAACTGTCAATATATGTTTGATTTTTGACCTACTTTGACGTGCTTTTTTCAGCTTCGGCTAACCTTTGCCACGATATTCAGCTGATAGATTGTCTGTTTCCGGATCGTAAGCATAGATCCAAGACTCTTCGCCAACAGTAATACGTTCCATGGTTTCTTGGTAGGAATAAAGCATTCTTTCACATACGTTAACGTGACGCTATTTTTTCCAAAAAATTTATTGATTTTAGAGCCAACCATATTTTTACTTTTCTTAAACGCAAATGATCCTTACGATATTCCAACGATGCCAGTAAGATCTTTGATTATTAATCCTTGATTCTCTGGCTCCGTTTTCTTTATTTTATTGACGTGTTGATCATCAGTTAATGTTGATAGCCGTCCTGGACGTGGTTCGTTGTCAACGCCCCCTCTACCCTCTTTGAATAATTTCTATCAATCAAGACACTTGCTCGCGAAAAAACATTATAACAACCTGAATGTTTCGGCACCTGAAATTTGATTCCTTTGTTGAATAATTTCACTCATCATAAAAATTACCGAATGTACTTTATGAACTTCGAAATACAATAATATACTAAACACTAATGATTATTTTGATTTGATATTTAGCACATCTTTCCAACTTGGAAAAACATATTTCGGCGAATGGGCTTTCGCGAAAAATTTAAATTAAAAAGAAATCATAGTAATGAAACCCATTGAAAACGAAAGATAAAATCACAATTAAAAGATGTAGTGTCATTAGGGACGTAGTTTAATTTTAAAGGGTTAAAAACGGTTGAACTCGATTTCCAACAAATATAGAAAAAAGTTATATAGCGCAGTTGTAGGTAACGAAAAGATCTAGAACTTTTGCGTCAACACCTTTTCCACATAACCTTCTTATGTCCCAAACACAATGTATTTTTTTAATAAAATATTAAGGGGTTTGCATGGGTTTCCTCGAGTAAAAAACAGCATATAAAAAATTAAATATTTATTTACAAAGAAATTCTGAAGTTTTTGGAAAAAAAATATTTTAAACTTGGGTATTGCGACGCCATTTCCGGTGACCGTCCGGAAAAAAAGTAGGCGCCAAACAATAATAATAAATTTCAGTGAAAATTTCGAGAATTTTTTTGTTTTCAAATAGTTGTAATCGAAAAAAAAATCCTTCATCCAAGTCTTTAAGTATTGTATCTCATAGACTTGTGCAAAACTTCATGAAGGTCGGTTGAGTAGTTCCTGAGAAATCATGCTAATTGACTTCAAAAACACAGATTCGAGGGAAACGCGTTAAAAGACGGCGCGCTTAGCCTAGCTAGCCTCGAGCGCACAAGTTCTGAATGCTTCATCTCTGAAACTATTACTCGGATCAACCTGAAAATTTAAGAAAATATAATAAGACAATAAAAAAAATCGATTTTTTGGAAAACGTAAACCTATGTAATCCCTTAAAGAAAAAACGTTATTTTGACTTAAAATCAAAAAAGCCTTATTTTTCAATCAAAAATTCTCACGTCAGTACATCAGATTTTGTTAAAGCCAGTAGCAGCTATCTTCTATGAAAACTCTAAGTGCTGACATTTCTGTTTTGATGGTAAAATGCACGAGAAGACCCCACGAAACTATTCTAACCTACTTTAGAATGATAGCTATTTCGATCTCCTTCATTTTACGGTTCTTTTACCGGGTTTTGAAGCAAGCGAAGCATAAATCAACGCTCAACAACCATAAAAAGGCAAATTTTAATAACAAATATCTCTTTCATTAAGTAGAAGTGATTACTAAATATGAATTAATAAAATGATTTTCTATTCTTATTTCATTTCGTTGTTGGTCACTAATAATACTACATTAAATAAATATTAAACAATAAAAAAATTGTTCTTCACTTAGAAATAATCCTTATAATAGAAACATTACTTTATTAATTTATCTCCTCACCGAGTTGCAGAACTATGACAAAAAGGAGCTGATGAAAATCTCGCTACCAGTCGCCGTGCAATTTCTGCCGAAAGGTAACCGTGAATTGTCCCGAAACTTGGCAAGTTATCTCTCCTTAGCAGCCATCGATTATGCCTACTTGCTAAGCCCACATGTAACTTCCATTATGGACTCCATTATGTCTGGTAAGTTATATCATACACTTCATTTAATACACTGTACAAAATATTATACTATGTAATCTTTATAGGTAATTTCGGTTTATTGCGCGTGCTTTCACAAATTTACGAAGTTTCGCCAGATGAAGTGTCGCCTCACGCACCAGTACTGATTGCGCTGCTGCCACAGTGTGACTCACAGGAAAAACTAGCTGTTTTGCAATTATATTTGCTTATTGCGCAAAAGACACCTGCGGTGAGTGAAAGAGAACCCCATTACCAGTAGGAAATTTGCAATATAAAATAAATTTCATTATATGCTTGTATAATTCTAATTAGGTACTTGAAAACTGCGTGCCACGTCTGTGCGAATTGTTGTACGACAACGAAACTGCCACAATAACAATGCAGATTTTACTGAAAATTTCAGAGCAGCGCCCGCTTTTGATAGTTGAACATTGCGAAAAAATCAAAGCGGCCAGCAAAGCAAATCCGAATACCGTTTCCTTGGCAGCTCAAATACTCGCTTCCGCCGGACGCACGAATAAGGTGATGATTAGACAGTAAATACCATAAATATTGTGAAAGTTAATAGTTTCCTACTTTTTCATGCTTAAAGGAACACGCCCAGTACGCACTTGATTTTGTGTTAGAACACTTGCCACATGCAGATCGCACATCACAAACGAATTTACTGCAGGAGGCCACCAAGCTATGCTCATCATTTCCCATATTGTTCACCGATAAGGTGCTCGCTTGTGTACGTCAAAAGAACGCACTAAGGTGAGCCAAACTAATATAAATTATATTAAGACAATCAAAAGCAATAAACGCAACTTCTTTTAACAGTCAGCAGAAACTCTCCACGTCCGACATTAATATGGATGTAAGCAATAAGACTTCAGGTGGCGTGACAATTGTGAATTTGAATAGCCCAACAGAGCCGCCACCGCCAACACCAACTGCAGCTGCAGCAGTGGTGGCCACAGTGCTGAATACAGTAGCCACGGCCAATCATAATAATGTGCCCAACACCTCAGCCACATCGATACCAATCACTGCCGATCCAGTCACCAGCCCAACAACCGTCTCGGTGGCGGCAACCACTGCCACCACAGGTCGCATGCACAAGAGCAAAAATAAGAGTCGCAGCAGCCCCAGCAGTCCAAAGGATGGCAGTCGCAAGGCTTTACTAAGCGCACATTTAAAAATTCGTAAGTTACAAAAAAGTCTAAGTGACACTTTGACTTACAAATCTCTTCTTTTTAGCAACAGCTCAACCAACTCAACCAACTGCCGTGAACACAAACACAACGTTTATACAACAGAGTCATAACGCTGCCGTGACAGGTGCACCGCCGCTTGTGCCACCCACTCCGCCACATACTGGTTATACGCGACGCGTCAAGCTGGGAGACTCGCGCAGCACTGGTCGTCTGCACCCGACTGGCAATACGCACCGCAGCATGACGCGTCTCAATGTCGCCGGTGGCTCGGTGGGCGGCCTGCACAAGAGTATGACGCGACTCAGCTCATCACAGCATATTAACCAAAATGGTGGTTCAAGCTCGAACAATGCAAATAATTCGCAATCTAGCGGCAATGTAGTGGTACAAACGCCTACAGGCGCCAGCACCACAACTGTAGGCGCTGGTGCGTTGCCCAAAACTCCGACCAGCCCCAGCAGTCCAGGATATGTGACACCTGTGCCACCGCTGAGTAACAATGTCATTATTACTGGTCACAATAAATGGGGTATTCCTTCGACACAGGTGACATCTGGTGGTGTCACAGTGACGACGTCACCCACTAAAGTCAGACCGCACTCACAGGGCCCTACTACATTGCTGAACTCAAGCACGGCGATGTTAAAATATAGTACTGATGCATTAAATCAGTCAATTGGTGAGTGAAAAATGTAGGATTTGGATAGAGAGAGCAACTGGGTGGCCAGTCATACATTTTTTGATATTCTATCTCTTTTTACACTATACAGCAATCTCAAGCTGAATTTTTTTTAGTAGATAGTTAGTAAATAATACTTAGTTAGTGTAGGATAGTCTGGTAAGCCAATAAACCACACCGGTTTTGGTTCTTTGAGATACCATATGAGGTTCATATGACAGGTCTACGATACTCCATTGTTTCCCTGGTGCTCGACTTTAGACATTTCCTTGCAGCCTTCTCGATCTGTCATCCCCATTCTGCGGTCGTATGTCGTTACTAGACACTGACCAGTTAATATACCCATCATGTTCATACAGTATTTTCTATCGAGTGCCAAGAAAAATTTTGTGTACTTCCGGTCGAGATCGTCGTATAGACAAAGCAGAGGTTTCCCAATGTTGATCACATTTTCGAATGTTAACCGCACAAGATTTTTGGCAATATCATCCTCTATTGCATTGCTCTCAATGCCTTTGTGGCCTGCCACCTAGTAGAAATGAAGTTTCCACTGCCATGCTGCTTCCCAAGACACTTCTGGCTTATAAGCGATACGAAGTTACTGTCTTGATCGCTACTTGGATGTCTACGTATGATGTTGACTCCGCAATTGCCCGCAAGTGCATTAGCAAAGACTGCACCTTGAAATATACTCCAGTAGTCCGGCAAATTAAAAAGTTGAATTATGCCTAACTATGATGGCCAGTATATTCCCGCACCAACTCTATCGTCCATCTTCGAGCCATCAATATAGATATTTAGAGTATTGCGCTTTACTAACATACCTTTACGCAGCCATCTTTCTCCATGTTTACATTCAACTTTATTTCCCAGTTGAAAAAAGATCATGTAGTCGGTGTTTAGCCAACCCCACTTATCCCCCGAGTTATGCCCGAATGTTCTAAATGTAAATTCTCCTGCAGCCAGTAGTCGTCCCGCCTATTTTGCTGCGCAGTTTTCTGCGAAGAATTCTATAGGTGGCAGGTTTAGTATAAGTTTAAGAGCAGCCGGTGGAGTTGTTCTTAAAGTTTTAGTAAATAATATACTCCATACTAAGATATTTAACGATAAGAAATCCAGTACAATCACTATGAGCATACAAATTAACTCAAATCTACTTAACCTAATGATTTCTACGAATTATTGTACAATTATTAAACGTTGGTTCTATCCAATGACAATCGATATACGGTTATAGTACTTGCAACCAGTAGCCATACGCAACCCATTAAACTTATGAAAACGAAACGTTAGGGTTTCAACGCGAAAATATCAACATAAATTATGGGCTCAGTATCCCAATGAAGGTTCGCGAACTCATATTAGCAATTCGCAATATCTTACAATAAGTCATCCACGTAACATTGACAGCGGATTCCTTTGTCAGTTAGCAAAACTAGTAGGTCGTTCACGACAAGACTCCATAACATGGGGGTTACCACTCTACCCTGAGGGTGCCTTGTAGTACCGAAACGAATCCTTCTGCTATTCTGGTAGCTGGTACAATTGATTGAGTCCATAGTAATAATCTAAGCGAAATGGTTTGTGTTCGACTTCGTGTAGACACTGGTCGTCCTGAATTGTTTCCGGAAAATGCGTCTGCAGAAGTGCCATAGCTCTTCTTCCGCGCTGGTCGTATACGTCCCATCGCATCTCTAGTACTGTCTCAGTCTTGCTTCTGGCCAGAGCCTTCTGCAGCCTTCTTACACAGAATCTCAAAAGCTTGGAGAGAGCACTTCTTTAAGAGACACCCAGGGAAATGTGGTCTCAATGGTGGAATTTTCAACATTTTTGTATCGATATTTCAGGAGATATTGTTCGAACATATACCTTTGATATAACATATTATATTTTTCAAATATATGATTGCTTGTATTAAAAAATATCGTAAAAATACCTTTTTTTTGTACCTCTGAAACCCACCTAACCCCTTAAGCTCGCTCTTCTCTCACTGATGCAACAAAAAAACCGCCACTAAAAATCCAGTTTAAACCATGGAATTGCAAAATGATCACAATAAAATTTCAATTCTGCAGGTTCAATTTCCATACCACAGAATGCAGTTTCAGTGCATCACGCCTCGCCAGCACTGCCTCAACAAAACAATGGCAATCAGAAGTCTGTGATGAAATTACCCGTAAATGGAAATGTAAGCACTCGAAACCTAGTACGCCACGACGTATGAGTTATACATGCTACCAACAAACTAACCAAAATTTTTTTGCGCAGAGTACACATGAAGTGATCGTCTCCGGACCCACAACCAATATGACACCACGGCGAAACAACAACAACACTAGTCGTACACTACTCAATGCAAACAATAGCTGTATTTTGGATCAACGTATGAGCACTTTTGAACCCTATCAGATAATGCGCGATCCGGTGCAGCAATTCTGCGAGAAACATTTCGGTTCAATTAAGTCGTACATGGACGATGTATCACAGTCGCTGCCGCCGCCAACGCGTTGCAGCATTGAAGGTTAGCATACGTGTGTTTATTATACATAATGCAGAGAAAAAACATCAAAACAGAGAGCAGAAGTCAAAAACCCAGGAACTAATTTTATAAATTAACCGCTAGTATGTAGCTCTGTGTCTCAATGTTACCTCAGTACTAAATAACAACAACAATATCATAATTTGTCATATTACACGTATGCGTTAAACTAATTGTATTTTCGTCAATTTTGGTCTACTCCTTTCTTAATTTCACTGCAAAATGCTTACTAATTCATTTGCGTTTTGATTTTTCCATTATACTTTAATTAATTCAAACTTTATCTCTTCATTCTCGTCTCGTTCCCGTTGTACTGCTGTTACATTTATCCTACATATGTATTTATATACCATACGTATATATGTATGTCTACTTGTCTGTCATCGTCGTCTGCCATCAAACTATCGCTGTATGCTTCCACTTCCCCCCACATCTGGTACTTACATCAAAAAGTTTCGAATGAATTTGCAGAGCGTCGCACGAAAAAGGTTGCCAAACTGCACTTCGCCTGTCAGATACGCGGCCCCCACTGTATGTACTCGAAGGCCTGCTTTACGATGCGCACGCGCAACCCCAAAACCTGGATACATTTAATGTTTTTGGATTTCCAAGTGCGACATTATGTAAGTAATTTATTTAAATATTTACTTGACAAACCATTTGTGGAAATATTTTTTATATATGAAGATGTTCATAACCTTAAATTGAAATAACATGGCAACTGAATTCATTTAGGCATGTTAATACTTGTGGTCATACGGATTCTCGATTCTTTAGTATGTGCCTTTTTAATGATTTCGCAAAAATTTGGTCCGAACTATAAGAAATAGTTTTTAGCTAGGGCTTAGTGGGCATGCGAAAGCTCGTTGCGAACACACCAGGATTAAATCGTTTTATAGCGGATTTAGATGTTTTTGCCCCTAGAACAGCTACTCCATTGATATTAAGACACTTTGTCAACGATATTATGTATACTACGAAGTTTGTAAGACCCAGAAGAAAACGTTGAAGACCCTATGGAATGTGTCTACATATATACATTGTAATCAGCCTGACAAGCAGAGCCGATTTAGCTATGTCCTCTGTCTGTATATATGGAAACTAGTCCCTCAGTTTTTGTGATATCGATCGGGTATTTTGCACACGTCCTTTTTTCTCCAAGAGCTGCTCATTTTTTCATACCGCAGATATCGGATCAATATAAACCAGTAAATCGGCATACAGTTTCCATGCCAATAAAACGCTTAAAATCAGGTCCTTGTATGAATACTTTTTTTATTTGACGAAATATATTGACGACATCAAAAGGAAACCTCTCATTCGAGATTGTTACGTACTTTTCATTGTTCAGATCGAACCGCAATATAATAATTCTGGCATAGAAACTGATTAATCAAAATTTAGTCCTTGTGTGGACAATTTTTTTAATTGTGAAGAGTATCTTAAAGGGTTTGTCCGCAAAGTAATAGGACTGATTTTCTACCACCGCGACTGTACTTCGGAGCGTGCGCGCACCGACTGGATTCGGTAGAGGGCGTTTCAAACTAACGAACAAGCGGCTGGTCAGTTGTCTCCTAACACCTGAAGAGTCACGACAAACATTTTCGCGCGAAGTCTTTCTATGATATGTTAGATCAGAGAAACGCGATTAAACTTGGTGTGTGCAACTCGGTATATCTGCGACAGAGACGTTTGATATGATCAGATGTTGCTTTAGCAAGAAGTGTATATTTCGGTGGCAGCAGGCTTTTGGAGGGCCGAGAAGAGGTCGCAGGTGAATGAGCAAATCCAAAGTGAAAATAATACTCATTGTCTTTTCTAACGTTAAAGGTATTGTCCACCATGAATATTTTCCACCTGGATAAACTGTCAACGTCAAGTTTTACGGTGGAAGTTGTCAAGAGACTCAAATGGGTTAATCGGGTCCGACAAGACATCGCAGCCGATTGGAACTTGCACTACGACAACGCCCCAGCTCACACCGCCTTTCTTGTGAGCAGCTACCTAACCAAGGCCGGCATCCCAACGCTTCCGTAACCGCCCTACAGCCCAGATGTAGATTGCTTCAATCATTTTTTTAGATCCACTCAGTCCTGTTACTTTCCGAATAGACCCTGTAGCTTCAGTGCAATCGAAGTTAACGTTCTTCCGTGTTTTCTTATATACAATATATCAAACAAAGGTCTACCATACAAAGACAGTTAATCCGTCGACCATCCACCTCATTTGAATCTGAAAAATTTCTACTTAGACATATTTTGCCTTTTTGAGTATTGTGTTTTATTTCTATATTTACATATATATATATATTTTTTTTTTTTCTTTTTTTTTTTTGAGAAACCTGTAGATATATTTAAGTTTTAAGCTTGAGACCTTTCGTCAATATTTAATATATTTTACTTAATATACCTCAACTAGGTGAAAGAAAAAACCGTTCTTAGTACTCGTGAGCCCGGTATCAGCAATTTGAAGAACATTTGGCAAATACTCAAGTGCGAGAACCGCAGTTTCACCGAATTGGTCACCAGCCAGTTTCCCAATGCAAAGGTTTGTATTTATCTTTACTAAATAGGTATATTAAAAATAATTACATATCTTTATTTTGCTAATATTTTTTCCGGAATACGAAAAATATTTTTTGATTGAAGGATCGTGAGATTCTCGTTAACGAATTACGCCACTCTGGCTTCTTGGATGTGTTCGAAGTCTCCAAGACGGACACGTCCAACCCAAATTGCAATGAATTAGAATACCAATGGGGTTGTCTGCTGTGTAATCATCCCGATAAAGCCGTTGGCTTTCTCAATGGTAGCAATCAGCCAATGATCGAGGGTCAGCTGAAGGAAAAGAAAGGCAAATGGCGTCTATTTCGACGTTGGCGCACAAGATATTTTACGCTCTCTGGCGCACATTTATCATGTAAAGGATCGGTAAGCTAAAGTGACTTCACCAAAAGTTTTTTTTTTTTATCTAACCAACAATTTTTCTTTAACCTGTAATCCTTACAGAGTGGCGGCGAAAGCATAGACGTAAATCAAATACGCTCCGTCAAGGTATCGCGCGGCGCTCGCAACATACCGAAAGCATTCGAAATATTCACCGCCGATCAGACATTAATACTCAAACCCAAGGACGGCAAAAATGCCGAGGAATGGGTGCAATGCCTAAGCATTGTGGTGGCGCATTCGCAGGCCCGTGATAATCCCACTGCGAAAACAAATAGTCTGCCCGCACGTGGCATGGGCAGCAGCAAGCCATCGTTTTAGTAAAACATACATTAATAATATATACATATAATCGGTGAACCAAGTAATGGNAAATTATACTATGCAAATTAACGAAAGTAAATTAAAAGAACACAAAGCTAAAAAAATATATGCACATATGTACATACATATTATATATATTTACAATAAGAAAATACAAGAAAATACAAAACTCCACTGAAAGAAAAAAGACGCTCAAAAAGAATTTAAGGACTACAAATGTGTAATACACATACATATACGTACATAATTCGTCTCCAATAAATTATATAATACAAATTACAGATTTTATATTTAATCGGCAACCTGACATACAAACATGTACATATGTATGTATACGTATGAACTGTGTATGAGTACTTAATTTTTGAATAATTATATGGCAACTACTTAAAAGGTTTTGTTTGTTTTAAATAATATATTAAGTAACTAAAATATTTATTATAAATAATTAATCGAATAAATGTTGATATACAATATTTTTTATACATAATAAATGCTATAATACATACATATCTAAATACGCCTCTGTAAATTGGAGAACTGAGCTTTACCTCCCAGCGGCTATAGTCTACATTTTAAAAATTAATTTTGTCGTCTTCAAAATTGTTCCTATTAGATATTATGCACTCGAAACACTCTGCAGGCACCCTTCTTCAATTTACATTAGTTTATGCGTTCTGATATGCGTTTCTTTAAATAAAGAGCGATCCCTTTTGGCATTCCCTACATAGTTAAAAAAAAAGCACAAAAGCTTCAAACTTAATTTGGAATATTTATTATCATTCGAAATATCATTTCTTGACACTTAGTTTTAGTGAAGACCAGCTCTTTCAAATGTTGGCGGCGCCTACATCTAAATGGTCTATCCGTGGAGTATAATTTTCGATGAAATGTTCGAACACATTTCGACTGGTAACTGGCAAATGACGCGCGTGATGTTTTGCTCCAAGGCCTAAATCGAAGCGCGCATTGACTTAAGGCTTTACATTTATCTACTGGAAAAAGTCTAACGGTGTGATTTCACATGATCTTGGTGGCCAATCGACCGGCCCAAAACGTGAAATTATCTGCTCACCGAAATGTTCTCACAATAAATCCATTGATTGACACGATTTATTACATATGAACCGATGATTCCACCGAGCAACATACCACACAAATCATTGTTTTTTCTGGATGAAATGACAGCATTTGATTCTCTTCAGGTTGTTCTTTGTCCCAAATACGACAGTTTTGCTTCTTTACATACCCATTGAGTTATAAATGGGCCTTATCGCTAAACAAAATTTAGCTCGTCGGATCTTTTTGGAACTTTTCAAGAGCCCATAGAGAGAAGTGATGCCGCTTGAGAAGATCGAGCGACTTAATTGTTTGCTCAAGCTGTATTTTCTACGCTTTCAATTTAAGGTCTCGATGTAAAATACGCCAAGTTGTTCCATATGTCAGTTCGAGTTGCTGCGAACGATATCGAATCGGCTCTCCACTTTCTTCGTGTACACTCTCAGCTACGTCTGCTATATTTTCTTCACTGCGTACTGGACGTGATCTATTCGGTCGAATATTCTCCAGTAATGAGTCTTGGGTCTCAAGATGGGTTTAGATTAGTAGACCGATTATGTTGACCATAAGTTGAGCGAAGTGCGCGAAACACCTTCTTAACAGAACGTGAATTTCGCTAATAAAGTTTAACGATTTATAAACGTTGCCATGATGAATGCCAAACAATACTACACAAAAATAATATGACTTGACTTGATACGGTCAAAAAACAGGTCACTGAAACCAGTACCTCTACTTGGAGCACCCTATATATCTATATATATTAAAGGTGTTATAAGCAATCATTAAGCGAACTATTACACTTTTCAATATGTTTCCAAGTTAAGGGGGGTAAGGTTTTTCATGGTAAAAAAAATTTTTTTTTTGCGAATTTATTTAGATATGGATTGAGTAGCTTTATTCGGACCTTTTGTACATTATTGAGCATACCCGTCCTTAACGCAGTTTTGATATAATTCATTAATATTTCTTATCAAATTGATGAAAATAAGTGAGAAAGTATGTGTGAATTATTTTTGGTAATTTCAGTGCCGCTGACGTACTTTTAGATAGATAACTCGCGTATACTTTATCTACATACATATATGCTTAGCGTTAATCGCAAAAAAATTCCTCTTTAGCCGACTTTGAACTTTTCTGATGATCAAATATAGCAAAAGGAAATCAGTTTAATCATGGACGACATTTCTATGAAGTATTTAATTTAATATTAAAATTATAAATTTAGCAAGAGCGAAGCATTTGCTTTGATAAACTAAGATCGACTGATATTTGAAAGGCCTTGAAAACGATTTTATTATTTCTACTCAAGAGGGAGTCCAAAACAGTATTGGACCCATGAGGTTTACAGAAAATTTGCAACTCGAAAACTTCGAAAACCTTGATAATAGGTATATGGGGGCTAAGAGAAGTACGGACCGGATTCAAGTCATTTTGGCACACAGACATTAAATTATCAGGAAAGGATTCACTCGAAATTTCAATTAAATACTTCACACATTATAAACACATATTCAGAACCAAGGGGCAACAAGTTTGATGAGATTTACAAAATTTTTAGTCGTAAGATGGCATACCTCGAAGGCACTATTCGCGCAAAGTTTTATCGTGATATTTATAGTTATTCTTCATTTGTATTCTGGAAACTGAAATAATAAAATTGAATTTATTGCATTATTTAGGTAGTGGGCGTTGTCCGATTTCACCCATTTTTACACCTAAACTAGAAATATAAAAATCGGTACAGAAGGTCCCCAGATATGGGATTTTACCTAAAATTGGGCGGCTCCAAGCCCATGAATGCGCTCCTTTAAAGTCTTCTCAAACCAATCAAAAAAGTATCATTCATTCAAATCTCCCGCTTATATGGAAGACAGGTAACTTTTTTTCTAGGTTAGTACAACTGTCCTTAATTATGATGCCAAAAATTAGCGCAATCTGTCGACCAATGTGTTTACAGCAGCTGTTTATGTCAATCGACCTCAGTAGTGTAATATTGATCAGCATATTTGTGTTAAATTTTCCGAACGAATTTTCATGTGCCGATACATTGAAAATATTGCAAAAGGCTTTAAGTGAGTTTGCTCTATCAAAAACTCGCACTTACGAGTAGTACAGAGCATTCAAGAAGAGTCGGGAGACCGTCGATGACATGCCTCAATCTGGACGACCTTCAACGAGTGCGACCGATGATAACGTTGAAAAAGTGAAGGAAATTGTTGCCGAAAATAGCCATGTGAGCTTGAGAGAGATTGCCCATAAATTGGAGATGTCACACGAGATCGAACGTACCATTATGCATGAAAAATTGGGCATATAACGCGTTGCTGCAAGACTTGTTCCGATAGAGCTGAATTTCCTTCAAAAAAGGTATCGAGATCAGGTCGCTGCAGACATGCTGGATCGAGCAAAGTCGGATCATACCTTCATGGAACGCATAATTACTGGTTACCAGAATTTGGCCAAGCCGAAAAAACCACGCCAAAGCCGATCGAAAGTGATGGTAATGCTCATTGTTTTCTTCTATATTCGTGGTGTCGTCCACTATAAATACATTCCAACTGGCGCTTACGAGACGCTATCCGTCGTAAACGTCCGAGTTTGTGGGCCAACAATTCGTGGATTCTTTATCATGATCATGAGCATCGCACAAAGCCATCTAAGTTATAGTACTTTATATGTTTTCGGTTAATGGCGTTTTGTGGACGTGATAGTGGTCCGATTACGACATAAATATAAGCTATTCTTCCTGAACAAGTTCACCAAAAAAAAAAAAAACAACAAATCCAGATATAGTTAATATTTTTATCATATGCTACTTGCATACTTGGTTCCACATTTTGTACAAAAATTACCGTAAAAGAAAGATAGACATATAACGAATAGATTAAATGAAACTACTGGATTATATTTACCAATTCACACTCGCAAAGAATAATATCTTAAATGCTTCATAATCATATTTCTTATAGATTTTATTTTTTCTTACCCCAACCAGCAAGTAAAATCATAAATAGAGTACCAAGAATGAACCCTGCAGCTGGTATGCAAGCCAACAATCTATAAGTTGAATCGGTAAGATCACTGCCCGGTCTCTTCGAGGCCCAACCTTTGCTACGCTCCACAGCAAGTTTCCACTTTCTATAACGTTGAACGCGATCATTTTCCGTATTTGTTGGTAAAAATAAATCTCTCTTCAAGTCATCTTCATAGGACCTATTCGGGTCCAAAGTAAATAAATCAATACCCTCCGCCTGCGCTGCACATAGCGCTGCACCCAAAGAGATAGTGTCCACCTCAACGCGATACACTGCCAACCCCGAAGTGTCGGCCTGCAGCTGCATCAACATATCATTCTCGGAGAACACACCATCAACATACACTTTGTTTATCTGCCTACCACTCGCCTCGTACATGCACTCAATAATGTCACGTGTTTGAAAGCAAATCGATTCGAGTGCCGCACGTATAACGTGTTTCTTCGTAGAGTACTGTGTCAGTCCAATGATTAGACCACGAGCAGACTGCTCCCAGTGCGGCGCATAGAGACCGGTAAAAGCGGGTACAAAGTACACATCGCCAGTAGTTTCCACAGATTCGGCAAATAGCTGTGCTTCATCTTCGTTTTTTATAAAATTTAAACGTGTCTCTAGCCAGGTCAAACATGCTCCTCCCACGGGAACAGAACCTTCTAACGCGTATATCGTTTTTTTTCGTGGCCCAAATTTGTATGCAACCGTCGTGATTAGACCGCGATCTGTAATAACACAACGTTCGCCGGTATTGCAAAGCAAAAACAATCCATATCGATAACTATTTTTTGCTTGGCCTGGCTTTACACAATACTGTCCAAGCAAACCCGCTTGATGATTACCAATAATGCCGGTTATCGCCTTGCCCAACAAGCCTTTGCAATGTTCACTTTTGATATGACCGAACATTTCAGATGAACTTCGTAT